CCTCTCGTTTTGCTCCTGCGTCGTGCAGGTTGTCCCACCCAGACGATGGAAGAAGGGAACCGCTGGCCTGCAGCGAGGGATGCACCTGCGTAGTACCTCGCAGTTGCGGATGTGAGTGAGGAGGCGGGCGCGGGGTGGGTTGCGGGTATGGGTCGCGGGGTGGGTCGCGGGGCGGGTCGCGGTCGGGTCGCGGGCGAGGGCAACACCAACAATATGTTGAAGACTATCGCTCTTATCTGATCCTGTGTCGCTCAGCATGTATATCTCAAACCGTCGATATCCGCCCTCTTCGTCTTTGATCGTACCCCTTTGGGGATATATCTTTCTTGCCTGCCACCTGTCGTTGGCGCAGCCCCTAAAGCAGGCGAAGAGAGAGAGGGAGGATGGAAGGACTGGGCAGCGGGGAGGGAGGAGGGTGGAGCACGGAGAGATTCGCAGGAGGGGGGCCCTGGGAGCTGCAAACAGCTGACAGAGCCAGGCAGGCGAGTCGGGCTGGCGGACCCCAACGGGCGGGACGGGCGGGCGGACCCAGGCGGCCGGGTCGAGCGGGCGGGTCGCTCAAGCGTCAGTCCTGAATGAGTCGCGGGAAGTCTCGAGCGATGGAGCGATTTCCGAGTAACTCGTAAGGAAGTCCAGAGCGAGAGCGTAACTTTCTGAGTGTCCTGGGCGCGGCGTTTCAATCTATTGCGTGAAGTCCAGCGCGAGAATGCGATTTTGAATCATTTTTGAGTAAGGAGCGGCGGGAGCCGTTATTGTGGTAAACCTGGCAAGCGGCACAGTCTGAGCCTCCAGACTTCGCCCTGTGAAAAACAGGGCGCGAGCCCCAGGATGGGCACTTCAATTGAAGAACACAGGGTGCACCTTGGGAGGATCAACTCCACTCATTCTGTAGAAGTTCAGCCACGCGCAGAGGGGGGTGGGGGAAGGGGGGAGGGCTTCTTAGAAGCACCCTGCTTCTAAGAAGGCGCGGTCTCATCTGTAGATAAAGGGCCGCCGCCTTCTAAGAAGCAGCCTCCATCTAAGAAGCCCTCCCCCTCCCTCCACCCCCCTGTGCGCGCCGCCAAGAAGTGAGAACTCAAGAACGCAACAACGCAATCACGCAACAGCAGTCCGCACCGCCGAACCCCACTCCAGCGAATGATCTTCCAGCCCTCTCACTCCGACCTCAGCAAGGGCGCCCTCGAGGGCGCGAAGTTCTTCGCGCTTCGCGCTTCGCGGTTCGGCTCCGATTCCTCCTCCTCCTCTTCTCCCCATGGGAGGCGGCGCGAGAGAGCGCGAAGCTATTTGCAGTTCGCGCTTCGCGCAGCGCGAAGCGCGAAGTTGGGAGCCCTTGCTCAGGCTCGGGAGGGGCCCGTGTTGCCGAGCCGCTCCCCTCCGCTCCTTGCTCGGCGCTCCCTGCGGCGAGCACGAGTGGTTGTCCTGTTTCCATCCCCTCCAGGGGGCGGACGGGGGCCCAATCTACTTCCAGCGCCTTCCTGGCTCATGCTGCGCCCGACTTCTTCAGACCGACGGGTATGCGCCAGGGATAGGCGCTCTGGTCGGCTTACAGGCCTGCAGGTGTCCATCTCTGGTCCGAGCCGCCTCACGGCGCGGCGCCACACGCCCCATTGGTATAGAATTGAGTCACCCCGGGATTGGAATTTTCGTAGAACGCATCTGCGAGCCTTATATGTTTCTTTGTAGTCGGTTCGCCGCAGAAATTTCCGGAGGGAAAAACACACAGGCACAATTAATCGTCGATTCCCAGAGAATATGGGAAAATATGGGAAGAGGGGGGGAAGACAAGAACCCAACAAGTATTGAAAAACATATAGGGGAATCCGGCTGTTGGTGTGCACTTTCTTGTGTGTCCCTGGGCCCCTTCAAACTTGCTTCTGCGGTACAACCAATGCTGTAGGCGCTCTCCTGCCCGGAGGGAGGGCCGCCGCCGGGACGCTATAACCGCGTGAGGCCTCCGGGGGCAGCAGCCCCGCTAGCGCTAGCGGGGCTGCTCGAAAGCGGCAGGCGGCAGGCTCCCGGGGGAGGCGCTTTCGAGCAGCGGAGGCGCTCTCCTGTGTGTCCTTAAGGGGCCCCTTCAAACTTTTGCTTCCGCGGTAAAAAACCAGTGCTGCAGGCGCTCTCCTGCCCGGAGGGAGGGCCGCCGCCGGGACGCTATAACCGCGTGAGGCCTCCGGGGGGGCGGCAGCCCCGCTATAGCGGGGCTGCTCGAAAGCGGCAGGCGGCAGGCTCCCAGGGGAGGCGCTTTCGAGCAGGGGAGGCGCTCTCTTGTGTGTCCCCTGGGGCCCTTCACACTTGCTTCCGCGGTGAAACCAGTGCTGCAGGCGCTCTCCTGCCCGGAGGGAGGGCCGCCGCCGGGACGCCAACCGCGTGAGGCCTCCGGGGGCAGCAGCCCCGCTAGCGGGGCTGCTCGAAAGCGGCAGGCGGCAGGCTCCCGGGGGAGGCGCTTTCGAGCAGGGGAGGCGCTCTCTTGTGTGTCCTTAAGGGGCCCTTCACACTTGCTTCCGCGGTTTAAAACCAGTGCTGCAGGCGCTCTCCTGCCCGGAGGGAGGGCCGCCGCCGGGACGCTATAACCGCGTGAGGCCTCCGGGGGCAGCAGCCCCGCTATAGCGGGGCTGCTCGAAAGCGGCAGGCGGCAGGCTCCCAGGGGAGGCGCTTTCGAGCAGGGGAGGCGCTCTCTTGTGTGTCCCCTGGGGCCCTTCACACTTCTTGCTTCCGCGGTTTAAAACCAGTGCTGCAGGCGCTCTCCTGCCCGGAGGGAGGGCCGCCGCCGGGACTTGGGCGTCGCGTAATGGGGGGGTCATAAATGGGGGGGTGGCGAGGGTGGTCCGAAAAGGTACCCAAACGGTACCCAAACGAGCCCCCTGGGGCTCTGGAGGGGCCCGAAAGGGGCACGAACGGGGACCTTTTCTGACCCCCCCGTTTATGACCCCCCCGTTAAGCCACGCCCAAGGGACGCCAACCGCGTGAGGCCTCCGGGGGGGGCAGCAGCTCCCGCTGGCCGGCAGGCTCCCGGGCGCCCCGCTCGAGAGCGCCTCCCCCGAGAGCCCGGCGCCGCGCGCTTCGCTACGGGCGATCTCCCTCCGCCGTCGGGCTCCAGGGCCCCCTCGGGGCCCTCACGCCTCGATCTGGCTCGACAGATGCTGCAGATATGGAGGGAAAGGGAGGAGGAGGAGGAGGAGGAGGAGGAGGAGGAGGAGGAGGAGGAGGAGGAGGAGGAGGAGGAGGAGGAGGAGAGGAGGTAGAGGAGGAGGAGAGGAGGAGGAGGAGGAGGAGGAGGAGGAGGAGGAGGAGGAGGAGGAGGAGGAGGAGGAGGAGAGGAGGAGGAGGAGGAGGAGGAGGGAGGAGGAGGAGGAGGAGGAGGAGGAGGAGGAGGAGGAGGAGGGGGAGGAGGAGGAGGAGGAGGTCGGAGGAGAGGGAGAGGAGGAGGAGGAGGAGGAGGGAGGAGGAGGAGGAGGAGGAGGAGGAGGTCGTAGAGGAGGAGGAGGAGGAGGAGGAGGAGGAGGAGGAGGAGGAGGAGGCGGAGGTGGAGGAGGAGGAGGAGGAGGAGGAGGAGGAGGAGAGTAATTAGGACTCCAGGGCTCCGGCCGTGATTCTTCGCGATGTCGTATACTGTTTTTGCCAGCGCCGGATCTCAGGGTTTCAGGGGCACCGGGGGCCCCCAGGAATCCCCCAGGGTCGTACAGGCTGCCGTCCAGGTCCGCCGGCGTCTGGACGCTTCCCGGAGCTCTCCAAAGGGCCTCTGGTAGCCTCCAGGGCCTCCAGAGGACTCCACGGCTCTACTCACGGAGACGTCAGATTCGAGTTCGCCAGAACTCGGGTTTGTCGACGATTCTTTGACGAGCCCGTCTTGGACTTCGACGGTCCAGTTCTCGTGGGATGTTTGCAGTGGGAGCTCGCGTCATATTTCAGACTGGGTGTCGTCATTTTCTCGACGGCCTCGCCAGGCCAGCCCGAGTCCCCCGAGCCCGAGTCTTATAAGTCTCCCCGTTTTACAGATGAGGTCCAGAAGAAAAACCTGCAGTGCAGTCCCCCGGAGCTCCGACGCCATGAGCTTTTCGTAACGCCGACCCCCGAAGTTCTGGGCACATTCCCCGGGACCGGTCGTTCATCCCGAGTCGTTGTCTGTCGACCCTGAGGCCCAGGTAGAGGCCCACAGAGGCTGAACATGGCGAAGAGCCTTCCGCCGTGATCCTTTCATGGCTAGAGTTGAGTCGGGCCTGTCCCCCTATACAGGGGGATTTGGCAACGAAAAGTTTAACATACCCCACAAATAATTTACAAAAATAGTCCAAGAATAGTCGGGGGACTATTTTTGGAGTATTTGTTGGCCTTTTGGGGGTATTGTTTTTAGTCCAAACATAGTTGGGGGACTATTTGGAGTATTTGTTGGCCTTTTGGGGGTATTTTTTTAGTCCAAACATAGTTGGGGGACTATATTTGGAGTATTTGTTGGCCTTTTGGGGGTATTTTTTTTCCTCGAGAACCTCGCGAGGCCTCCCGCGAAGGGTGCCCGCGCCCTCTCCTGTCCTCGACCCTCCCCCTCTCCCCTCCTCCTCCTCGCTCCTCGCTCCTCGCTCCTCCTCCTCCTCCTGCTCCTCCTCCTCCTCCTCCTCCTCCCTCCTCCTCCTCCTCCTCCTCCTCCTTCCTCCTTCGCCTCCCTCCTCCTCCTCTCCGCCTCCCTCCTCCTCCTCCTCCTCCTCCTCCTCCTGCTCCTCCTCCTCCTCCTCCTGCTCCTCCTCCCCTCCTCCTCCTCCTCCTCCTCCTCCTTCGCCTCCCTCCTCCTCCTCCTCCTCCTCCGCCTCCCTCCTCCTCCTCCTCCTTCGCCTCCCTCCTCCTCCTTCCTCCTCCTCCTCTCCTCCTCCTCCTCCTCCTCTCCTCTCCTCCTCCTCTGCCGCCTCCTCACTCCTCCCTCTCCTCGCTCCTCCCCCCCCCCTCGCTCCTCCCCCTCGCTCCTGCCCCTCGCTCCTGCCCCTGGCTCCTCCCCCTCCTATCTTCCCGAGGAGCTGCTGGACCACTGCATGGTGGACGTCGCGATGGGCTGGAACAGCCTGGCGGAGCAGAGCCCCAGCCTCGCCGCGGCAGGGAGACCGCCCCCCGCCTCCCCTCCCTCTCTCTTGGGGGCTGCCCCGCGGGGAGGCGATGGAGGAGGAGGAGGAGGGGGAGAAGCTCTCTTGACTGAAGGAGCTGTTTTTTTTTTCGGGTTGAAAGGTTTTTTTTTCGGAAAAAAAACCCACCCCCCCAAAAAACCCTCTCAACCCGAAAAAACTCGCCATCCGGTGTTTGTTTCGGGTTGGGTTTTTTTTCGGGTTGGGGCCTCCGCAGCGCGCCAACCCGAAAAAAAACCCTTTCAACCCGAAAAAAAACGCAGCTCTGACTGAAGCGCTAGCGCTGGAGTGGGCGACCGAGTGCTGGTTTACGCGGCGTTCGAGCTGGATTGAGCGAGCTGGCGCACGCATGATCCCTCTGCAAGCGGGCAGTGCCATCATGTCTGTGAACTCCTTGGCTCTGGCTCTGAGCCTGGCGCATCGTGCCTTTACTGAAAGAAAGGGGGGGAGAATGCAAGGGTGTTCACGGTTTGGCTGGTTCGGTTGCGTCGCAGTCGGTTGTGTTGGGTCGGTTCGGTTCGGTCGGTTATCGTGTTGTTGCCGCGTCGTTGTTCCCTTCTGGGCTGCTTGCGGCCTGTCGAGTTCGGTCGGTGTCGGTTTCGCTGCCGGTTCGGTCGGTTTTCGGTTTTGTTGAAGCCGAGCACGGCCGTGGAGACGGAGTCGGACAAACAAGGCAAGTCAGTTGAAGCCACCCCGCTGGCATGAGGGTGGGCCCATAAAAGCCCTCGAGGGCAGCATCACGTGCCAGCGCGCTGCGGAATGGGTGAGGCTGGATGGAGGCAACTGTTACTTCGCCGTGCGATCATCCGCCCCAAGATCGGGCAGCGCAGAAGGGAGAGAGGGAGGAGGAGGGAGGGAGGAGAGATGGAGAGAGGGAGGAGGAGAGAGGGATGAGAGGGAAGGCGAGGAAAGAGAGGGAGGAGCAGAGCCGATGAGCCGGAGAGGGGGAGGAGGAGAGGGAAGGTGAGGGGAGAGGGGCGGGAGCGGAGGAGTCAAACAAGGAACACCAGCATGAGCATATCCTCTCGGAGTTCCGCTCGGATGTCTTGGCTCTGCGCTAGGCCCCCCTTGCGGCTGCTCCGCGGGGAGGCGATGGATGGAGCAGGGGGTCAGAGGAGGAAAGGGTACCCATACTGCTACCCGTGCCTCGTGGCCTCGTGTTCGCATTTTTGGGCCCTCCTGGGAGGCCCTCGTCGCCACCACCGCTGGATTCGCCTCAAAATTCTGGCCGGAACGCACGGCGGGATGGGTCTGTGGGGAAGGGGAGAATGAGGCAAACATGCAACAGCGGCATAAATATAAGCTTTCAGAATTCTGCGCGGAGTTCTCGGATCCTCCTCCTCCTCCTCCTCCTCCTCCGCGCGGATTTCTTGGATCTGCTCCGGCGCCGATCCAGGAAATCCGCGCGGACCTCCACAGTGTTTTCCACTCGGAGGAGGGCCCGCACGACAGCGAGGCGGCTCCAGGCGGCCCTGGGACTGTAAAGCACCGGCGCAGGATGGAAAAGCCCCCCCCTCCGCCCCACAGTGGCCGAGAGCCCCAGGGGCCCACGCCACGGAAAGGATGTGACGTCGGATGAGAGGGGAAGGCGATGATGATGGTGGTAATGCTGAGGAGGAGGAGGAGGAGGAGGAGGAGGAGGAGGAGGAGGAGGAGGAGGAGGAGGAGGGGGTGCGCATCTTGCTCTTGCATGTTCGAGGTCTTCATGTTGTCATTGCGTTTTTTTGCACGCTGATCTTCGGGCCACACAGGGTTCCCCGTCCGGGGCGTTTGTCGCCGGAGGCCTCTCTACTCTGCAGCGGGCGGTTACCTGGTTGGCTGGTCGCGTTGGTCGGATGGTTGGCTGGCTGGTTGGCTGGTTGTCGGGTTGCTTGGCTGGCTGGCTGGGTTGGCTGGCTGGCACGCTGGGTTGGATGGTTGTCTGGGTTAGTTGGCCGGCCAGCTGGCTGAGCTGTCTGGGTGCATTGGCTGAAGCCTGTGGAGCGCGAGATAGGGGGGAACGACAAAAAAATGGTCGCACGCTGAAGCGCCAAAGTGGGGATCAGAGATGCGAGCAAAAGACAAGCCCGTGCCCTCCAGCGCAAGCAATGCGCAGAGCGCAAGGCCAGGGGGAAGTGATTAGGGGAACAAAAAATTGCATAAACATAAAAACTCGGAGGTCCGCGCGGATTTCTCGGATCGGCGCTGGTGCCCCCCGGCGGCGCCTCCGGCGCCGATCCGAGAAATCCGCGCGGACCTCCGAGTTTTTATGTTTATGTCACTTTTTGTTCCCCCATTTCATCAATCAAAATGCATACCTCACTCGATGAATGGGCGAGGCTGGGGAAGCAACCAAAGGACGAGTACTCCTGCTCCCGTCGGCGCCCTGCGGAGCGCGAGAGCAGACGAGACAATTTGGGCTGTCTTGGCGCTGGCGATCGCTCAGCGCGGGTGGGCCTACGGTCAGGAACTTTGGCTTAGCCTTTTCGCTCCGCTGATTCTGGTCCACCGTGCTTCGGACCGACGCGCTATTCACTACCCGGCCCCCCGGGCGTCAACGTCCCGCGCCTTTCCCCCAGCTTGCCGCCCCGCGGAGCGGAGCGACACGCTATCCGCTTGCAGGGCATAGCCTGTCGCCGGGGCCACCGCGGCGACACGCTATCAAAAAGTTCCTGACCGTATGCAGGTCGAGTTGCGAAACGGTATCTGTTCATCGCTTCGCGTATCCCAACCAGTCCATCTAGACACGATGCCCAGAGGAGCTGCCCTGAGTGGGAGAGCGTGGCATCATTCGGAGATATCGATCGGGGGCCTCTGTGGGCCAGAGGCCCAATGGATGCTTCCTTGGGTCTCTTGGGGTTTCTGTTGATGGCCCATCAGAGGCATATTGGGGCGTATTGGAGGCCTCGTGTTTGGTTTTTGGGGGCATATTGGAGCGTCTTGAGTGCCTATGGGGGGCCGCCTGGGGCCTCTTGGGGGCCATCTGGGAAGCGATCGATTAAAGAAGGGGGGGTCCATTAACAGCTTTTCCACCCCTGAGGCCAAACTTGCCCCCAGACCCAAGGAAGATCAATTCTTTTCTCCTTCTCGCTGAGGCCTTCTTGGATGCTCTGACCAGTCCCTGCCCCCCCCCACGCCGTCCAGACCCAGGGGTTGGGGTATATAGGGGAGGGGTCACTCCATCCATGCCGAAAACCGATGCCCATCATTGTGTCTGGTGGGCCTGCACACAGCAGGCCGTACACCACCACTTGACAGTGATCGCGGGGTGGCCGCGCATGATCCAGATTTAGCTGCGAGGTGCATATTGTATTGTTTTTGTCAGGGCTGGTGGCCCTGCGCGCAGCAGGCAATATGCTGACACCCCCGCCGTCCCTGTCAAACAACAATGCAAAGTGCTCGCGGGCCTCACGAACATAACTCCAGACTTTGCCCCAAAGTGTGCTTTGTATGGTTTTTTGGAAGGGATGGTGGGGGGTGGCCCTCATGGGGTCCTCATTGCTCCTGGTTGGCTGCAGGTCGACTGGGGGAGGGGGTGTATATCAACAGGGAACAGTGATCAGGACACTTCCTGTTTATAACGCACAAGCTAAGCCGTCTCGCTCATTCCCGCCCACCCAAGCATTCCTTTCAAAAGCCATTGCAACGTGTTCGCGGGGCGCCCGCGCATGCTCCAGAGTCGGAGACAAATTGTAATTCTCATGATTCTGATCTGGATGGCTGGATTGTTCGCAGCAAGAAAATGAAGGGACACCCGCCGTCCCTGCCAACAACCTCTGCAAAGTGTTCGCGGGGTGCCCACGCATGCCCCAGATTTGGAGACAGATTGTAGTCTGTATGGTGTTTGATCGGGATGGTTGGCCTACTCGCAGAAGGCCATATGAGGGCACCCCCGCCGCCCCTGTCCCAAACCAGTGCAAAGTGGTCGCGCGTCGCCCGCGCATGCTTCAGATTTGGAGGCAAAGTATATGTTGTATTGTTTCTGTTGACAGGGATGGTGGGAGGTGAGCTCATGTGTCCGGGTTGGCTGTCGGCCGGGAGGGGGAGGATTAACAGGGAACAGAAATCAAGACACTTCTCTTAGATGCAAACTTTTTGGTTCACTCCCACTCGCCCTCCCAACACATAAGTAGTACACGAGTCTCAGCATATTGAGTGGTCTTCTTTGAATGGGCAGCTACTGGGAACCAACGCAGACCCCAGGTGCGCGACGCTGGTGCGAGAGCGAGGTGTGCAACGAGCGCCAGGCGCGCCACGCGCACCAGGCGCGCCAGGCGCCCTTGAGGCTCAAGTTAGGCACGCCTGGTGCGCTAGATGTGCCAGATGTGCCACGTGCTCCACGTGCGCCAAGTGTGCCGCATGCTCCAGCCGTGTCAGGTGCGCCACGTTCGGGGCACGCGCAGAGTGAGCCAGGTGTGCCAGGTGCGCCCGCGCACATCGGGAAACATGCCGGCTCCACCATCCTTGTCGAAAACCAATGAACAATCGCGGCGGAGTGGCCATCATAATGTCTGGGAAACCAATGCAACGTGATCGCGGGATGCCCGCGCATGATCCAAATTTAGCTGCGAAGTGCAGTGCGTATTGTTCCCAAACCTCCTGTGTTGGGTTGTCGTTTTGCATAGAGCGCTGTTGTCTCTATCCATCCTCCTTCCCTATAAATAATTCTTCCCCGTCGCACCCCGAGACGGGTTGGTGCGGCGGGTCAGGCATTTTGTTTAAGACTTCCTCACCACTAATGATCCTGAACAAGAAGTGTGCATTCGTTTCATGGATTGAGAGCGGATGTTTTTTTTTGTTTGTTTTCAAAATGCGGTTTTCAAAATTGCTGTCGGGATAGACTCCATTGAGGGGCAACGGATTCCGTCTTGCCCTCTGCTTAGTTGTTGTGGGAAGAGTCTGACCCTTCGCTTAAGGTGCTTCTCATTTTTTGAAGAACCGTCTGGCTGGCCTTTCCCGGGGTTGCTTTCCTATAGCAAAATAAAATAGTAAAACATGTTTTGTCATATCAAATAGTTTTGAGGACGCCTTCCGCGGGTTACTTGGTTTTGCCCCTTTTATATTTTTGAAGAGGCTTTAATGTTCTTGCAGAGGCTTTCCCCGGCTTGATGGGTTTTGTTTATTTAGTGCTTTTGAGGAGGCCTTCCCCAGGTTATTTGGTCTTGTATTCTGGCTGTTTTACAAGCGGTTTCCCTGGGATGTGTGGGCTTCGTTTCTTTACTATGGTTTAGCGCGTGATGCTTCCACGTTTACTGTTTTTGAATAAGGTCTTCCCTGGGCTCCTTGGTCCTGTTTTTTGACTGTTTTCAAGGGGCCTTCTACGGGTTGCTAGAACTTGCTTACTTGCAACCCAGTGCCAAGCAACGCCTGGCAATGCCAAGCAACGCCAAGCAATGCCAACCAGCGCCAAGCAACGCCAAGCGAAGCCAAGCAACGCCAAGCAACGCCACGCAACTCCAAGCAATGCCAAGCAATGCCAAGCAGCGCAAAGCAGTGCCAAACAATGCCAAGCAGCGCCAAGCAATGCAAAGCAATGCGCCGCAACGCCAAGCAAGTCCAAGCAAGGCCAAGCAACGCCAAGCAATGCCCAGCAATGCCAAACAACGCCATGCACTGCCAAGCAACGCCAAGTGACGCCAACATATACAAAGCAGCGCCAAATAACGCCAAACCGCGAAACAAGCCAGGTAATGCCGTACGATGCCAAGCAACGCCAAGAAATGCAACGCAACCCAATGCAACGACAAGCAAAACAACGCAATGCAACAACCATACAATGCCAAATAACGCAATGCAAAGCAAATGAAGTCCAGTCAATGCCAAGCAATACCGTTTAGGACGCGTTCCCCTATTTGGGTCGCGCGGGGTTCATTTTGTTTGTTGCTTGCTAGTTTCGGGTCTGCTGTCAGGCCCTTGTCGCCAAGGTTTGATCCGCTTTGGAATTCTGGTCGGAACATGCTCCAGCCCACTGGACGAATTTGAGTCGGAGGTGTCGCGGCGTCCCAGTGGCGTCTTTCGAGACCCGCTTCGGACCCCTCCACATTAACACGACCCGGGGCGAAGAGGCGCCCCTGGGACAGGGTCGAGAGTTCTTGGGGCCACGCGTTTGGGCAATCACGACGTCGGGTGCGGGGGGAGAGCGAGCTACCCTATCCTCTTGGAAGGGCCGTCGCCGCGGACAGCATTTACCAGGGGTCGTGGTCAGATGGGGCTGGGCAGGGTTCTGCCAGTGTGCGGATGCAGAGTGGCCCAGAGGGTTGGTCACCGTAGGGTCCGCAGCTTCTTCCAGCAAGATGAAGGCAGGGAGGCAGCAGGAAGGAATGGTGGAGAACGACGCCGCGGCCTGGAAACGCAGGGGACCAGATTCACAGGAGGGTCGGGAAAACATCAGAGGAGCAAGCTGCCATGATAATGATACGCTGTGAGAATCCAATTTTGCGGATTTTAGACATGTCCTAAAGGTGTTCCGCACGGGCTGCGGGGACGGGGACAACAAGATACTCCAGAGTTCCTGACAATCGCATCATTACATCATTTTCGTCCTTGACCAGCCCCCTTCAGGAAGCTCTCGCTCCGGTTCACCCTCCGGTCCGACCACGGCGAGGAGGACCTGGTGAGGTGTTTGCCGCTGGGGCAGTGGCCGATGCCGCCCACCACGCAGACGTTGCTCAGCGGGCTCTATACGCTGAGGACAGGGATCCTCTCGGGCATGCCTGCGCGTCCCCATCGCGCGCCAAGCTCCGCCCAGTCCCTTGCTCTGCACTGTGACTACCGTGGGTGTGGTTATGCCGGGGTATGGTTTGCGATCGATCTTTGCGATCGATCTGCGCCGTTGGGGCTTGGGGGGGCACCACGTTTCGCCAAAGGCTTGATCCCTCGTCGGAGCGCAGCGGAGAATCTTGTCGAGGTCCTCGCCTGCCTCCCGGGGCGCAGGAGGCAACCCCCAACCTCTGCGAACCACACCCCTCGGAGTTGACGAATCGAGGAGTCTGCTCATGTTCGAGGATGCTAGCAGTGCACGGTGCGCTGCCGATTCCACAGTCTTGGACATTTTCAAGATCGTCCGCTCTGCCTGTGACCGCCTCGCCACTGCGGGGCGTATGGTCGGCCTGACTGAAGCGGCGGTCCCCATCGGGATCTGCACCTCCACGAAGTAGTGCTCCAGGCCTTTGACGTGATGTTGTTTGTCCCGTGCTGGCGTTTTTCCACAGATGTTTGCCTCTGGTAGTAGTGTTCTGGCCCAGGGAGCGTCAGAAGTGTTGCATGGGATGGGGCACAAGCCCTGGTGAAGGCGTCGAGAGGTCTTTCGGCACGGAATTCGATCACGACGCCGTCGTCGGAGGAGAGCGTGGAGGGGGGAGGGAGGAAAAGGAGAAGGAGGAAGAAGAAGGAGGAGGAGGAGGGGAGGGGTTCAGGAGGGCGAGGGGGATACGGTGTGCGCGTCCGCTGAGCAGAGCGATGATGCAGTGCAGATGCCGACGAGATCCGCAACTCGTCACCCGAACGGCGTGAGGCCGGCAGATCAGTGGACGAGATGGGTCGGCACGCCGCCCTCGACTCGTGGTCTCGCTTGGCACCCGACGCGGCAGGGGACGCGCGGTGGCGCGGAGGCGTCTGCAGCCCTCCTGCCGCGCCCGCAGCCGTGGCCTTCCTTCTCCGGCCCCGTCCTCGCCGCCGATGCCCGCCCCGTTGCCGCGCCCGTGCCCGTCGTTCCTCTCCCGCCCCGCCTCCGCGCCGCCCGGGTGGGCCACCACACCAGACAGGTCTCCTCCTCCTCCTCCTCCTCCTCCTCCTCCTCCTCCTCCTCCCCCTCCTCCTCCTCCTCCTCCTCCTCCTCCTCCTCCTCCTCCTCCTCCTCCTCCTCCTCACGGTCAGTGCTTGCCGCGCTGTGCCCAGACCGTTTTCTGCTGGCGTTGGGATTATGTCCCTACGATGGGGCGCTTCGGAAAGGGCCTCGCCCTGAGGATCGAAGGAGCTTGCATCTCTTCCTCGGCGGAAGGCGGCGGAAGCTGGCGGAAGCCTCGGCGGCTCAAGGACGCTGCTCGCACAGGCGGGCGTGAGGTCGCAAGTCCCCACTAGGCCATTTCAGTCTCCCCTGGCCATGGCGTTGCCTGCTGCCTCTTGCTGAAGGAGCTGGCCAGGGCATCGGCGCTGGTGCCTGCGAGGTGAGCGCTGCACGGTAGCCCAGCCGTGCTGGACCACATCGACAGTCTGCAAATACTGCCAGATCGTGGGAGCTAGGGTGTATGGGGAACAAGAGAGCCCTTCGACGTGCACTGAGGCTTGTGGCAGTGACTGGAGCGTGCTGGTACCGTGGACAACACTATACTCGCGCTTCGGCGGCTGGCCTGGCTGCAGCTCATGTTCGTGCCGAACCCCCCGCCACCCCGTCCCCAGCGGCCCCTTCGGGCCTGAGGACGTCGAGATCTCTGAGTAAGACACAGACTATCACGGTTTGGAGCTACAACACGGAGTCCCTAGTCGTCGCCGACCGTCTTAGTGAGCTTTTTCGCCTCGCTCGAGCGAGACAAGTTGCGATATGCTGTTTTCAAAGCGCTCTCATGACACTGAGTATTGCATGGCAATGTGAAGGGTATCGTATCCTTCCGACGGCGAGGACCTCGCCTAGGGCAAGGGATGGATGTCTCATTGCAGTCAACCGACGTTTCTTTGGGAGGGAGGAGATAAGGTGTGTTCATGAGTGGATCCCTGGTCGCCTTCAGGGTGTACGACTCAAACGTGATGGCCTGCGTCCCCGTGATTTGTACGTTCTCAACGGGTACTCGTGGACCAATGAGCCACCGAAGCCGCCGCATGGGCAGCCGACGCCAAACCCAGCTGTACACTACAGGACCCAGGACGGTTTCTGGCAACCGTGCGCGGCCACGATATCAAGTAAGGCGCGCGTCGCTGGTCTGGTGCCTCGATGCGAATGCCTCGATTGCTCCATCGCTGCCCAACATAGAATTTGCAGTTTCGAGGAGGACTCAGAGCAATACGAATCACAATGGTGCAACATTTCTCTCCGTGCTTCAAAATCTTGGATTGATGGCCCTCAATACGTTTGGTAAGGCGACTCGCTTCAACTCTACGTGGGTTCACACGAATGGACGGAACTGGTCAACAATTGACTACATCTGCGTACGCATGCAGGGGGGGTACGGCCATCGCAGCTACCCGCTCGACCTACCAGTGAGCCTTGGGGGGTATTGTGACCATCGCCCAGTGGAGGCGAAGATATATGCGGGATTGCGGTGCAGGAGGACACCGAAGAAAGAAACTATGAGGTGGAACCGTGCTCCCATCATGCAGGATCTGAAGATTCTCAACGGTGCACGCAAGCAGGCGTCGGACGCTCCAGCAGCCCCCATTCCATCTCGAGTTGCCCATCTTCAAGATGCAGTTGCCCAGAGGATCGATGAGCTCCGACTCGCTGAAGACTGGCAAAACATCTGCGGACCTGGACGGTGCTACCCAGACACCTCTGCCGATTTCAACACCCTTGAGAGCGCCCTGGTTGACGCCGCCGTGATCATGTACTCGACACAGCCGTCAGACCAGGGGCGCCCTGCTCTCCCAGAGAACATCCTGCAGGTCATCGCCAAGAAGCAGTACTACCAGCGCTTGATGGTCAGGACAATCCCAGGCAGTTGGCTCTACAAGTCGCTTTACCACCAGTACTCGTGCGCAGCCAAAGTTGCGAATAAAGCCGTTCGATCACACAAGCGCCAGCTGTCGGCCGAGCTGGTGACCCAAGCGGAAGTTGCGGATCGCCATCGGGGCACCCGCCAGAGTTATGCCATCATACGTCGCCTGGCACCTGGGCCTACATTGCCAACGATGACGGTGTTCAACCCAGAGACAGGCACGGTATGCTTCGATCATGATGATGACATGGCTGTGAGGGCTAAGGCTCTGTGCTCCATCTTCTGTGATGACGAGGTCACTCCACCCCTGATGCCTACTTCCCCGCTCGCGGACTTGGACGATCCATCTACGGAGATCACGGGGTCCAGCACCGCGAGGGCCATCATGAAGCTCCCGAACTTCAAAGCTGCTCCGACGCTGAAGTGGGGCGACCCCAACAGCATCGACCACGGTGATCGGGGACCTCACTCGGATGGTGCCGTGGCTGAGCTATGGAAGCTGTGGCTCGAGCGCGTCGCAGGCCCCCTCGCCCAGATTTTCCAAGCATGCCATCAGACGAAACAAGTTGCTCAGCGCTTCAAGGATGGGGAGATCGTATCGATTCGCAAGCCTAAAGGAGACGGACGAAATGCCACGGACCATCACCGCACCATCAACCTCACCAACCACATGGGCAAGGCTTTCGCCAACGTTGTGTGCATGCGAGAGCTCCGCCATTGTGCAGGCCGCCTGTCCTGTGCACAGTTTGGGGCCCTTCCCAAACGGTCCACGCGAGACGCTATCGTGATCGTCGATGAGATCATGCGCCGCGTCCGTGTTTGCAGGGGCCGCACGAACTACCCAGCTGCTGTGCTGGTGGCAGCCCTTGTCGACCTTGAAAAAGCATTCGATCTCTTGCCTCGTGACAAATTCTGGGATTCCCTCGATAAGTTGGCGATGTCTAGGGGCGCTCGACTCACGCTTGAGGCCCTCCACGAGGGCGCGTGCTATATCCTGAGGGGCATCAAAACGAATCAGCCGTGCAAAACCCTTCTGGTGCGTCGTGGGGTCCGCCAGGGTAGCGTGGAGGGCCCGTCGCTGTTTGTCGCCATCTACGATTTCATCACTCAGGAGATTTCGAATCAGCAGGTGGCCCGCGGCTTCGATGGAGTCTCGGTTTTCTCGGGCCCGACGATGACGAACATCGGGGGCCAAGTGGTATTGGAGGAGGAGGAGACTATCGAGGAGGACGTTTCGCAGGTTAAGTTCGTCGATGACCTTATCGGTTTTGCTATGTTCGAGGGCTTCGATCGCGTTTCGGATTAACTCCAGTTCGTGGAGTCGGTGATCGAGGCCGGTGGGATGACGATGAACGCGCCCGAACTTGAGGTGTTGATGGTCTCGTCGGGGACGGGTTGTAAAAAGTTGCGCAAAGACATCATTAACCAAACCACGGGTGTGACCATGAAAGACTCTGAGGGCCGCGCGATCAAGGTTCACGCTCAGAAGTCGGTTACGTATCTGGGAGTCCGCGTTCGGGATGATGGCTCGATGTCCGAGGAGCTTAGGCAACGCCTGCTGGGGGCTAACGCTGCCCGCGGACGCCTCTCCCAAATGGCCTTCAAGGGGAACCTCAGCTACCGACTCAAGATCAGATTGTGGGCCTCTTTGGTTCGCTCCATTGCCCTTTATGCTATGGAAATTGCGATACTTACCCAGACCGAACTCCAGAGATTAGAGCGATGGCAAACCCAGAAGCTCCGACACCTGCTCCGTTCCCCTGCGCACGTCCGACATGTTCCGAACGAGGCGATCCGAAGGAAGGCCAACGTCTATTCCGTCACATCGACGCTGTTGTTCCGAAGGCTGCGTTGGTGGCAGAGAGTGATATCTCCTGGACTTGCCCCTCAGGAACCAGAGTATGACCCTGCGAAAGCGGTGGGGACGGTCTTGTTTGGGCGGCTGTGCTTCGAGAGGAAAGTGGGCCCCAGGAAACCCGTGGGGAGGATTTCGCTGTTGCTTCAGGATCTGCAGGCACTCTGGTCATCACTCTCTGCTGCCCGCCGTGCTGGAGCCCCCGAAGCCCCTGAACAAGAACCAAGGATATCGAAATCTTGGTTGACCTGGTTCAGCGGACTCGAGGAGCGTGACCTTCGGGCTGTTCTTTCCTTTGGTGCGGATTGCGATCTTGGGCCTGCTGGGGAGGAACGCCCTGATGGTACTAGGCACGAGATGCTCCTGTGCCCAGAATGCGGACTTAGGTGCAGAGATCCCAAGGGCCTCGACAGCCATCGACGTCAGAAACATGGTATCGTAGCCAACCGTCTGTCTCTTCCTCAAGTGTGCCTTGATAATATTGCTTGCCCACACTGCCAGCAGAAGTTCACCGGGAAAGGTACGCTTCTTCGACATGTCGAGGTTCCACGGTGTCCAGTCCTGAAAGCTGCTGGGGCTCAAGTGGCTCATCCAGTTCCGCAGCCTCCTCTGGCGCCCAGCACCCGCCGCGACGTTCGCCCCGCTGTCGGAGGTGGTCAGCAAGAAGAGGGGCGCGGGGGTTGCCGAGGAGAAGAAGGTGCAGGACGAGGTCCCGATGGCGGGTCCCCACCGCCAGCTGACCATGGCGATGGCCAAGCTGGTGCTGCAGCACGAGGGCGACCTGCGCAACCAGAGGCGAGACGTGAACGTGGTCCTCGCACAGCACGCCGACGCTAAGCTCCAGCTCGCCCTCGAGGAGGGCGTCGACAAATACAACCGGGCGGGCGAGGAGGCGAGGGACAAGGAGACGGGCG